AATCAAAAACACATTTCCAAGACTTGCCTTAAAGGTTGCTGTGGTGCAGCGGAAAAAAAATCCGGGTTGCTGTGGTGCAGCGGAATTGTATTAATTGTATTTGTATATTGTTATAAAAAAAGAGGAAAAGAAAAGAAGTTCTTTTTATAAGAAAATATTACCTTCTGAACAACGTGTTTTGAGTAAACCAACAAAAACAATAACAATTACAATAACAATTACAATAACAATTACAATAACAATTACAATAACAATTACAAAAACAATAAATAATAATAACAATGATAATGATAATGATAATAAAAAATTCCAAAATGTTCCATTTTAGTTAGATTTCAAAGGCTGTGTGCATAACCACGCATAACCAGAGAAAATTTTCCACTTCTAGAAAGTAACACGAGCTACTGACAAGCCACCATTATTAGCAGGGTTGGCATTGTCCAACATTGTCCAATGCCAACCCTGCTAATTATTATTAGCTTATGTTCGAAATAATGAATTATTAGTATGATTCCTCTACATAATTAATTACCGGAATTAATGAGAGGAATGTAATTTATTATTATTAAATATAAATAAAAGTCTTTCTAAATCATGAATGTTTTTATCAATTATTCAAAGTTATATAGGCAGGTTGATTGAAGTGTTAAAGACAAGATATATGATGTATAAAGCTTACAAATCATACTTGATGAATGTTATCAATTATTCAATGTCTATGAAGCTTGAAAAGCAAATTTGTAAAATATACTTATGAAAGTTTATCAATTATTCAATAGCTATACAGGTGGGTTTGATGGAATTAAAGTGTTAAAGATAAGATTGCATTTTAATTTATACATTATTTATATAGGTGGGTTTGATGGAATTAAAGTGTTAAAGATAAGATTGCATTTTAATTTATACATTATTTATATAGGCGGGTTTGACGGAATTAAAGTGTTAAAGATAAGATTGCATTTTAATTTATATATACATTATTTATATAGGCGGGTTTGATGGAATTAAAGTGTAAGATAAGATTGCATTTTAATTTATATATACATTATTTATATAGGCGGGTTTGACGGAATTAAAGTGTTAAAGATAAGATTGCATTTTAATTTATACATTATTTATATATGTATAAATAAAAACCATTGCTCAAGTAATAATAATCATTAATAAAACTTTAATCAAAAATCTTTTCTTTTAACTCATATATATTACATATTAATAACATCACCATCAGATCCTGCTAATGTTATTGATGATAAAACAATCGCTAATAAATAAATACCTTTTAATCTAATCATTACATTCTCAAATATATATAAAAAATATTAATTAATAATAGGAAATGGATGAAAAAAAATTAGTGAGGGTATGAAAACTAATCTTTAAAAATAATTACCCCCAAAAAACCAAAGTTAACTGACATTATTTCCATCTTATTAATAGCCATCCTTGAAAAGAATCTGTTATGCGAATTCGTTTTTGTTCAAATTCATTTGAAAATATTAAATAAATCTTTACACTTATTATAATAACCAGGATCTGTTACGCGAATTCATTTAAAAAGCAAAATTTGAAGTTAATACTTTTTTATAAACAAAATTATGTAATTTAAAAATAAATACTTAAGCTTGAAAATTAGAACTTAACTATTGTACTTATTATTAATATGTAAAAAAAATTAAGTCTAAAGATTGAAATTGTGTATGTTGTCCAATTTCTTAATTTATTATTATTATAGAACTTATAGAACTGGTAGTCCAACTTCATGTTAAGATTATCGCTTAGTGGTATTTGTTTACCCTGGCAAAAAATACATCAAAATAAAGGGTTTTTCATATATTTGTTATTTTTTATGATCAAAGTAACAATTTGATTAAATCAGGCAAGTTTGTGTATGAAAGCGTGATTTTTTTCTTCATTTTTTCATATAAAATTCCGTGTTGATCAAAAATTTTTTATTAGTGAGTGACACTTGACCCCCTGTAGATCCGCAATGTCCTGCGACTAATAGAAAAGCAGCCTCAGGGAAATGTCACACGACTATTAAATTTAATTTTCTTTTGTATATATCAATTTTAATAGAATTTCTCAAAAATTTTCCAAAATGATTATTATTCCTGAGAACCTTATCTACAACGTAACAACGCAAATTTTTGTGTTTACAATAAATTTTTAGAAATTGTGTTAATAAACATCTAGAATTTTGACAAAAATTACATTTAGTAATATGCAAGCACATCAATGTTACAAGTATTTGCAAAAAATAGCGTTGTTACGTTGTAAACACATATTTTGGGAATACAAAACACTTTTCAGAATTGGAAAAACCATCTGTATGTTGAGTTATAAAAATTTCTGTAAAGGTGATTTTTCTTAATTGATAAATAATAATTTCGCATTTGTTAATTATTATAAAAATGATCGGCAAAAATCTTTACTATTTGATTTTATTATTTGATTTCCCCTATGTTTGTGACTATACTAATATCTAACACCCCAATGACACATGTACATACACTATGTGTTTGCTAAGAAATTTTCTACTATTAAATATACCACGTGATTCCCCCTACCCTTAATAAAATTAGCCACAAACCTTAATTTTAACCCTTTTTTGCTCACCAATCTCCACCAAACTTGAGACACAAATTTTTCAAGACTTATTCCTTCTTTTTAAAAAAATTAGGAAATCTTGGTGTTAAAGTTTATCAACCAAATTACCACATTTGGAAATTAATTATCTATGACTTCTGATAATCTCCTGCCCGCAATTTTTTCCTTTTTGTGTATTTATTGATAAATAAATTTATCAAAATTTAATATGTTTTTGGAGTTTTTTGCCATTTTCAGTAAACTTTAATAAACAACAATCCACATAAAACTATACCTAAATGAAAACTTACAGTATTTTACATCTCTTCAACCACTCACCAAGTTTGTAAAGGTAATATTGGTAAAAAATCTTAGCTTTGAAATAAAAAGTAATGCTGTTTTTGAATAAATATAGCTTGACATAAAGAGCCTTTATAAATATGGAGAGGGCTCATTAGAAAGCTATAATGTCATAGTTTTATCTTTGATTAATAATGATGTTTGAATTTGTTATAGGGGTGTTCAAAGTTGTTCTGTTCCTGTTTCCTGTTCCTTGTTACATGGTCAAAATTAAATTTTATTGGCTGATCAGAAGGAACAGGAAACGGAACAGAGAAACAACAAATCTGTTGTTCACCTTGTTTCCACTTCCAAATTTGGAAACGATTTAAAAAAATAAAAAATAAAAAATAAAAATAAAAAAATGAAAACAAGAAAACAAGAATATCATAAAATAGCTTCTACTAATAATAATGTACAACAGCCTTGTCCAGTTCAAAGAGTAGCTTCTACCAATGACATGCAGCAGCAACAAAGCATTTATCCGGTTCAGTTAACTTCTACTAATAATAATGACATGCAATAACAAAACATTTATCCAGTTCAAAAAGTAGCGTCTGTTAATAATGACAAACAACAACAACCACAAAGCATTAATCCAGTTCAAAAGGAAACTCCTTCTACTAAGAATATGACATGCAACAACAACAAAGCATTTATACATTTCAAAAGGCAATTTCTACTACTAATAATGATGAACAACAACAACAAACCATTTATCCAGTTCAAAAGATAAAAAAATGTGTAAATTTTATTGTGTAGATCGGTCCCAAATATAGAAGTTATGGAAATTTCTGCTCAAAGTTGATTCTTATTTCCATTACCTAATAAGGTATTGTACAACAAGGAACAGGAACAGGAACAGAACAACTTTGAACACCCCTTATATAATTGGGAAGTGTATTTTCCAAAATTTTTTGGTGATCAATGTTGAAATTCTATATATTAATAAAATTAGCCACAAATCTTAATTTTAACCCTTTTTTGCTCACCAATCTCCACCAAATTTGAGACACAGCTTTTTTAGGACTTATTCCTTCTTTTGGAAAAAAATTAGGAGAGGTTATTAATAAATAGAAAAAAATCTTGGTGTTAAAGTTTATCAACCAAATTACATTTGGAAATTAATTATCTATTTTTGGTCATTGCTCCTGATAATTTTCTGTCCACATTTTTTCCTTTTTGTGTATTGATAAATAAATTTATCAAAATTTAATGTTTTTTGAAGTTTTTTGCCATTTTCAGTAAACTTTAATAAACAACAATCCACATAAAACTATACCTATATGAAAACTTACAATATTTTACATCTTTTCAACCACTCACCAAGTTTATAAAGGTAATATTGGTTAAAAATCTTAGCTTTGAAATAAAAAGTAATGCTGTTTTTGAATAAACATAGCTTGACATAGAGAGCCTCTATCAAGATGGGAGAGAGCTCGTTAGAAAGCTATAGTTTTATTTTTGATTAATAATGATGTTTGAATTTGTTATAAAAATAATGAGATATTTTAAAAACTGATTTGTTACACAAGTTGAATTTTTTATTTTATATATGTAATTACAATTCCTGTGACATATTGTTTGACTGTTATATTCCAATTTATATATAAAATTCGTTGAAACAAAAATTTTTAATTAATAAAAAAGGGGGGACAGAACCAAAATTTGTTGAAACAAGGTTTGACTGTAGTATTTCTTTATTGAATGTTTTTAATACATATGCTTGTTTTTTCATTATATTATTTACTTTTCAACTTTTCATTGACTTCATCAAATCAACACTTCACCTTTGATCATGAATTATCATCCATTATAACAATAACAATATAGAGTTTATTGCACCAAGCTGAGAATTAATATTTATATTTTGTAAAACAAATAAAATGAATAGTTTGAATAAAATGAATAATAACAATGATCCTAATAAGTAAAATTTTAATCTACACATGTAACTGGAAAATTGCCAATTCCCATAATTTTTATCATTCTAAAACTATCAGAATGCCCAGAATTTTATAATAGGATTTTACACCCTGTTTTGGAGGTAGTTTTGACTGGAAGCCTTAATTTCATCTCTGTTATTAATTAATTCATTTTTCAAAAAATACACTTTTTCTATAAGGTCTTTCTTTACTTTCCATTCATTATCTTCTTCGTCCTCCTTATCCTCATCCATGATTTCTATCCAATTATCAGGTAAAATATTCAATTCTTTAGGTTTAGTTGAAAAAAAAAAACTTTGTAATCTTTGAAATTTCTGCAGCAGCTTTAGTAAGAGTGTCACCTGGATCATTCTTATCATAATAAGTGTGCTTTGGTGCTTTACCTTTCATATATTTGCCTCCTTTCTGCTTTTCCAATTGTACATCATTTTCCCACATTAACTATAATGATTTATCAATTAAATCACCCAAAAACCACTTGCTCTTGTTCCATTTCTTCTTCTCCCTAACCCTCCATTATTATCAATTTATCCAATTCTTTCTCTTCATCATCAACTTTATTATTAGTATTACATATTTTCTTTGTTCTGTACTTACCCTTTGTATCTCTTCATTTTTGAATTTTTTGCAAGTCTAGTTTTAAGTTGAGAATTTCTTTTTTTTGGTCAGTCCCTTTTAAATATACAGAACCTATGTGACATAAGAATTAAATTTTTAGAAATAATTGGCAAACACTACCACCCACCCCTAGCCCACAAATTTTAATCATTATATTATTGATTATAATTATCCAGGGGCCTCGGCCAACCCTGGATTTATGTATCTGCACATTTTTGTGTTACTGATTCAGAAATTTTTTTTTTAATGGACAGACAAACTTACACTCAGAAGAGGAATGCGACTGGTCATCATGCTAAAACTAACACCGATGAACATATTTTTTCAAGCTCTCTTGACGATTACGAAATCCATAAAAATAGGCCTATAGGTGTAGTATTTAACAATTATTTATTATACTTAGGATTAATAAATCAAACTTAGATGTTTAACAACGAGTTTATACTTTTAAATATGCTTTATAGGATATGGCGCGTCTGCCGTTGTATATAGTGCCTTATATAAGCCACTTAACAAGAAAGTAGCTGTCAAAATTATTGATTTCGATTATTTTGAACGAAATCAAATTGATGAAGTTAGGGTGTGTAAAAATTGAAATTCATATATAGTGTATGGTTTAGATCTTGCTTATAATTACTAAAGAACAAAATCATAATAATTACGTACTTTTTGATTTTGTGTATACATAATATTTATAGAGAGAAACGCAATTAATGTCCTTGTCAAAACATCAAAACGTATTAAGAGTTTATTGCTCTTTTGTCAACGAATCAAAGTTATATATTATAACACCATACATGTCAGCTGGTATGCTTTTACTTAATAAAGAATTAATTGGTTTTTTTTAAAAAAGAATAAGCATCTTAAAGTCATTCGCCATAATCAATTAGGTTCCTGCTCAGATATTATGAAGTCTTCATATCCTGAGGGGCTGGAAGAGACAATTATAGCCACCATTTTGAAACAAGCACTTCAAGGATTAGATTATCTACATAGAAATGGTCATATTCACAGGTAGATCATATTATAATAATTTGATAATTGGTAATAAAGTTTTGTTAATTTGAATCTATTGTTTTGTATGAATTAATTAGGGATGTAAAAGCTGGTAATCTTTTGGTGGATGAAGATGGATCAGTATTACTTGCTGACTTTGGTGTGGCGTCTTCTCTAACTGAAAATGGTGAAAGGAAAGGACTTCGGAAAACTTTTGTTGGAACGGTATATTGTAAATTATTTATTAAATACAGTGGAAGTAACTTAATATTTTCATCTCTAATTCTGTGAGAAGGATCTCGTTTTGTTGGAGGTGAAAAGTTGGCTAACTGCCCCATTGTATCAAGCATGGCACAAAGGAACCCATGTTTGACCCATACAATATCCTTTATAGAATGACGAATTATTCTAAAAGGTGATAATACATTGTCACCTTTGTCAGAGAGCAATTGATATAGAGTTTCTTAAAAATTTTATAACTTTGGAAACAGAATAGCCACAGAAGAAATCCAAAATGATTATTACTCCTGAGAACCTGATCTACAACGTAACAACGCAAATTTTTGTGTTTACAATAAATTTTTAGAAATTGTGTTAATAAACATCTAGAATTTTGACAAAAATTACATTTAGTAATATGCAAGCACATCAATGTTACAAGTATTTGCAAAAAATAGCGTTGTTACGTTGTAAACACATATTTTGGGAATACAAAACACTTTTCAGAATTGGAAAAACCATCTGTATGTTGAGTTATAAAAATTTCTGTAAAGGTGATTTTTCTTAATTGATAAATAATAATTTCGCATTTGTTAATTATTATAAAAATGATCGGCAAAAATCTTTACTATTTGATTTTATTATTTGATTTCCCCTATGTTTGTGACTATACTAATATCTAACACCCCAATGACACATGTACATACACTATGTGTTTGCTAAGAAATTTTCTACTATTAAATATACCACGTGATTCCCCCTACCCTTAATAAAATTAGCCACAAACCTTAATTTTAACCCTTTTTTGCTCACCAATCTCCACCAAACTTGAGACACAAATTTTTCAAGACTTATTCCTTCTTTTTAAAAAAATTAGGAAATCTTGGTGTTAAAGTTTATCAACCAAATTACCACATTTGGAAATTAATTATCTATGACTTCTGATAATCTCCTGCCCGCAATTTTTTCCTTTTTGTGTATTTATTGATAAATAAATTTATCAAAATTTAATATGTTTTTGGAGTTTTTTGCCATTTTCAGTAAACTTTAATAAACAACAATCCACATAAAACTATACCTAAATGAAAACTTACAGTATTTTACATCTCTTCAACCACTCACCAAGTTTGTAAAGGTAATATTGGTAAAAAATCTTAGCTTTGAAATAAAAAGTAATGCTGTTTTTGAATAAATATAGCTTGACATAAAGAGCCTTTATAAATATGGAGAGGGCTCATTAGAAAGCTATAATGTCATAGTTTTATCTTTGATTAATAATGATGTTTGAATTTGTTATAGGGGTGTTCAAAGTTGTTCTGTTCCTGTTTCCTGTTCCTTGTTACATGGTCAAAATTAAATTTTATTGGCTGATCAGAAGGAACAGGAAACGGAACAGAGAAACAACAAATCTGTTGTTCACCTTGTTTCCACTTCCAAATTTGGAAACGATTTAAAAAAATAAAAAATAAAAAATAAAAATAAAAAAATGAAAACAAGAAAACAAGAATATCATAAAATAGCTTCTACTAATAATAATGTACAACAGCCTTGTCCAGTTCAAAGAGTAGCTTCTACCAATGACATGCAGCAGCAACAAAGCATTTATCCGGTTCAGTTAACTTCTACTAATAATAATGACATGCAATAACAAAACATTTATCCAGTTCAAAAAGTAGCGTCTGTTAATAATGACAAACAACAACAACCACAAAGCATTAATCCAGTTCAAAAGGAAACTCCTTCTACTAAGAATATGACATGCAACAACAACAAAGCATTTATACATTTCAAAAGGCAATTTCTACTACTAATAATGATGAACAACAACAACAAACCATTTATCCAGTTCAAAAGATAAAAAAATGTGTAAATTTTATTGTGTAGATCGGTCCCAAATATAGAAGTTATGGAAATTTCTGCTCAAAGTTGATTCTTATTTCCATTACCTAATAAGGTATTGTACAACAAGGAACAGGAACAGGAACAGAACAACTTTGAACACCCCTTATATAATTGGGAAGTGTATTTTCCAAAATTTTTTGGTGATCAATGTTGAAATTCTATATATTAATAAAATTAGCCACAAATCTTAATTTTAACCCTTTTTTGCTCACCAATCTCCACCAAATTTGAGACACAGCTTTTTTAGGACTTATTCCTTCTTTTGGAAAAAAATTAGGAGAGGTTATTAATAAATAGAAAAAAATCTTGGTGTTAAAGTTTATCAACCAAATTACATTTGGAAATTAATTATCTATTTTTGGTCATTGCTCCTGATAATTTTCTGTCCACATTTTTTCCTTTTTGTGTATTGATAAATAAATTTATCAAAATTTAATGTTTTTTGAAGTTTTTTGCCATTTTCAGTAAACTTTAATAAACAACAATCCACATAAAACTATACCTATATGAAAACTTACAATATTTTACATCTTTTCAACCACTCACCAAGTTTATAAAGGTAATATTGGTTAAAAATCTTAGCTTTGAAATAAAAAGTAATGCTGTTTTTGAATAAACATAGCTTGACATAGAGAGCCTCTATCAAGATGGGAGAGAGCTCGTTAGAAAGCTATAGTTTTATTTTTGATTAATAATGATGTTTGAATTTGTTATAAAAATAATGAGATATTTTAAAAACTGATTTGTTACACAAGTTGAATTTTTTATTTTATATATGTAATTACAATTCCTGTGACATATTGTTTGACTGTTATATTCCAATTTATATATAAAATTCGTTGAAACAAAAATTTTTAATTAATAAAAAAGGGGGGACAGAACCAAAATTTGTTGAAACAAGGTTTGACTGTAGTATTTCTTTATTGAATGTTTTTAATACATATGCTTGTTTTTTCATTATATTATTTACTTTTCAACTTTTCATTGACTTCATCAAATCAACACTTCACCTTTGATCATGAATTATCATCCATTATAACAATAACAATATAGAGTTTATTGCACCAAGCTGAGAATTAATATTTATATTTTGTAAAACAAATAAAATGAATAGTTTGAATAAAATGAATAATAACAATGATCCTAATAAGTAAAATTTTAATCTACACATGTAACTGGAAAATTGCCAATTCCCATAATTTTTATCATTCTAAAACTATCAGAATGCCCAGAATTTTATAATAGGATTTTACACCCTGTTTTGGAGGTAGTTTTGACTGGAAGCCTTAATTTCATCTCTGTTATTAATTAATTCATTTTTCAAAAAATACACTTTTTCTATAAGGTCTTTCTTTACTTTCCATTCATTATCTTCTTCGTCCTCCTTATCCTCATCCATGATTTCTATCCAATTATCAGGTAAAATATTCAATTCTTTAGGTTTAGTTGAAAAAAAAAAACTTTGTAATCTTTGAAATTTCTGCAGCAGCTTTAGTAAGAGTGTCACCTGGATCATTCTTATCATAATAAGTGTGCTTTGGTGCTTTACCTTTCATATATTTGCCTCCTTTCTGCTTTTCCAATTGTACATCATTTTCCCACATTAACTATAATGATTTATCAATTAAATCACCCAAAAACCACTTGCTCTTGTTCCATTTCTTCTTCTCCCTAACCCTCCATTATTATCAATTTATCCAATTCTTTCTCTTCATCATCAACTTTATTATTAGTATTACATATTTTCTTTGTTCTGTACTTACCCTTTGTATCTCTTCATTTTTGAATTTTTTGCAAGTCTAGTTTTAAGTTGAGAATTTCTTTTTTTTGGTCAGTCCCTTTTAAATATACAGAACCTATGTGACATAAGAATTAAATTTTTAGAAATAATTGGCAAACACTACCACCCACCCCTAGCCCACAAATTTTAATCATTATATTATTGATTATAATTATCCAGGGGCCTCGGCCAACCCTGGATTTATGTATCTGCACATTTTTGTGTTACTGATTCAGAAATTTTTTTTTTAATGGACAGACAAACTTACACTCAGAAGAGGAATGCGACTGGTCATCATGCTAAAACTAACACCGATGAACATATTTTTTCAAGCTCTCTTGACGATTACGAAATCCATAAAAATAGGCCTATAGGTGTAGTATTTAACAATTATTTATTATACTTAGGATTAATAAATCAAACTTAGATGTTTAACAACGAGTTTATACTTTTAAATATGCTTTATAGGATATGGCGCGTCTGCCGTTGTATATAGTGCCTTATATAAGCCACTTAACAAGAAAGTAGCTGTCAAAATTATTGATTTGGATTATTTTGAACGAAATCAAATTGATGAAGTTAGGGTGTGTAAAAATTGAAATTCATATATAGTGTATGGTTTAGATCTTGCTTATAATTACTAAAGAACAAAATCATAATAATTACGTACTTTTTGATTTTGTGTATACATAATATTTATAGAGAGAAACGCAATTAATGTCCTTGTCAAAACATCAAAACGTATTAAGAGTTTATTGCTCTTTTGTCAACGAATCAAAGTTATATATTATAACACCATACATGTCAGCTGGTATGCTTTTACTTAATAAAGAATTAATTGGTTTTTTTTAAAAAAGAATAAGCATCTTAAAGTCATTCGCCATAATCAATTAGGTTCCTGCTCAGATATTATGAAGTCTTCATATCCTGAGGGGCTGGAAGAGACAATTATAGCCACCATTTTGAAACAAGCACTTCAAGGATTAGATTATCTACATAGAAATGGTCATATTCACAGGTAGATCATATTATAATAATTTGATAATTGGTAATAAAGTTTTGTTAATTTGAATCTATTGTTTTGTATGAATTAATTAGGGATGTAAAAGCTGGTAATCTTTTGGTGGATGAAGATGGATCAGTATTACTTGCTGACTTTGGTGTGGCGTCTTCTCTAACTGAAAATGGTGAAAGGAAAGGACTTCGGAAAACTTTTGTTGGAACGGTATATTGTAAATTATTTATTAAATACATGCATTTGTATTTGTAATACATTAAAAATTATCATCGACATTATTAATTTAGCCATGTTGGATGGCACCTGAAGTTATGGAACATGAAGGAGGATATGATTATAAGGCTGATATTTGGTCTTTTGGAATAACCTCTCTTGAATTAGCAACAGGTCATGCACCTTTTGCAAAATATCCACCACTAAAAGTAATTGAATAATGAATCAAAGGAATAAAAATTTTTTTTTATAAATTATTTTTAAATGATTTATTATTATTAGGTTATCATGGTGACACTATCAAACGATCCCCCCACTCTTGAAAGAGATTCAACTAAACATAAATATTCAAAATCGTTTAAAGAAATGATAGATTCATGTTTGCAAAAAGATCCAACAAAAAGGTATTTGAAATTAACTAATTATTATTCAAAATATTATTATTTATTAAAATTTAAATTATTATTATTATTACTATATTGGTTAGGCCCAGTGCAGAGAAATTGTTGAGCCATTCTTTTTTTAGGCAAGCTAAAAAAAAGGAATACTTGTATAGTAAATTATTGCAAAGTTTACCACCATTAGAAGATCGGCCACACAAAAGTATAATTAATTTATTGAAATTATTATTTTCTATAAACATATGAAATTTAATGTTACTATAAAAACTTTGTTTATTCTAGGGGTTCAGCAAAAGCCTATTAGCTATACTAAAGGAGTTACATGGGATTTTGCTATTGATAGTGAATATCGAAACGAAGATACATTAATTGAGACAGAAGATATGAAAGTAAAACAAGACAAAAAAGCTGTAAAATTTACAATGCAATCTGAAGAATCTGAAATTGATAATTCAACTAATACTCTGCCAAAAAAATCCAGATTTTCAGTCGAAGGACAACCACAATCAGAAGAGATTATAAAAGGAAGATTCAGTATCATTGAAAGTAATTCATCGAAGGAAAAATCAACCCCAATAAATTTACCAACTGAATCGGATAGTAATGGTCAAAAAATATCTTCGGTGCAAGAACAATCTAATGAAAGTTTATCAGGTGACACTTAAATAATGGTATTTGCTTTACATTATGCAAATTATTTTGATTTTGAATGGTGTTTAAATAATTTCTAAATGGGAATTTTATGAAAATATTTATATATGTGTATATGAAACATAGTTATTCCATCCACAAATACCCCTAATGAAAGTCTTCTCCAGCTCCCTTCATCGCTATCCCGAGATTCCTCTTTACAGAGTGATTCTTCTTCAATTGAGGAGATTTCTCAAGTCAAAAATAATCGATTCCAATCTGGCAGTAGCATTAATACTGAATCACCTACCATCAAAAATACAGAAAAAATAGTGGGCACTAAAAAAGGTAGATTTGAAGTATCAAATTGATGAATGGATCATCGATTACATAAACAACAATAATAAAAAGATTTTTAATATTTAATATTATTGTTTGATTATTTATTATTTATGTTATAAAATATATTCATATGTTATAAAATTTGAATAAAAATGAAACCTTTATCAAGTTTTGTGCCCCAAATTTCCTTTTTTTTTTGATTGGTCAGAAGGGTCTTAGAGCCGGCCCCAAAATATTCAAAAAAAAATATTAACCGACCGATTCCCATATATTAATTTTTTCTCTTAAAAAATGTCTTCAAATCAAGGCTCTTCTTCTTCTAGTAATCAAAATGATAACAACATAAATAATAATACTGGTGATGATAGTGTAAATAAAGGTGAAAGTAGTAAAAAACAACAACAGTTGAAATCAAATCAAACACAAAAAGAATCAATACCACAACTTGGTGCTTTAGAAGAAGATGATGAATTTGAAGAATTTGCTGCTGAAGGTAATTGATAAATATTATTATACAATATTATCAATAATTAAGTAAATTTGCTTTTAATATATTAGATTGGAATGAAACAGAAGAAGATCAAGAAACTCATTTATGGGAAGATAATTGGGATGACGAAGATATTGAAGATGATTTTTCCAAACAATTGAGGTTAATAATTTTATAATATTTAATTTCATCTATTTGACGGTTTTGGTTTTTTTAAAAACTGAGTTTATTAAATTATTATTCAATTGAAGAGCCGAAATTACCAAAGCTACCAATGCACCACAACCAATGAGATATTAATTTGTTATTTAAAAAAATAATAATTTTTAATTAGAAAAACAACTTGTACTTGATTAAATTATAATTATATATTTTAAAAATATGTTACAAATTAAAATTAAATTATTTGTTTGTTTTTTTTGCTTTAGGTTCAGGAAATGTTAACGGTAAACTTAATACTGCTCTTTTAATGGAACTTACTCCTCCTACATTGCTTGTTAATCCTAACGCATCTAATTCTTTTTTACTTAAATTTTCAACTTTACAACCTAATGTTTTAAATAAACTACTAACCCTATTAAAACAATAATAATAATAATTATTATTATTTTCCAAATATAAATTCAAAAAAAATATATGTAATTTATTACTTTGTTTTAGTTAAAAGCAAATCTTGAACTAATGCTTCAGTTTCTACTCGATATCCATCCAACATTAAACATAATGTAAACATCCAACATAGTAATTTATTTTCTGATTTTGTAGTAAATTTAAATCTATTTTTAATTTGTTAATGCATGATTAATAAATAATATCATATAATAAATCATGATAAATATGACACATACATATATATATTACCTTGGTGCACCTCCTTGTTTTTTATATAATTTTTCTGTATATCTTTCATAAAGCCCTTCTAAAATTTTTCTTGGTGGATTGTTTAAATTTTTTGACATTATATCTTGGTTATTAATACTGGAATGTGCAAAACTTCTAAAACTCATCATGTATCCAATATATAATAATATTTTTATACGTTTAGTATTAATTTTTTTAAGTGATAAAGATGGAAATAATCGACTATTGATATATTTAGATGTTCTAAATAATATAATGATAATGATAATATATGATAATAAATATTTAATTGACTTTTTAAATTAATCTTAATTAATATTAATTCTAATATATACTTGAACGATAAATGTTCCAATACTTGATTATTATTTTTAATTGACAAAATAAAATCAATATTAAGCAGTTCAAACTCTTCTTTTGTCAGAATGTCTTCTAAATTATAAACTTCATTTAATTTTGTTGCTTCAAGGTTATATGGAGGTATCAATCTATTTTCTTTTTGTTGAATTTCAACTTTCATTTCCACTAATTTTCCATTTTATGTTTAGTTTACAAATCAAAGATAATCAATAAATAAATGTACAAGTAAATATACACGTTCACATATATATATATATATACCTTCATTAGACATTGTTTTGACTTTTTCGCCAACTACTTCAACAAAATTTTCAATGCCTTCCATTTGTGATACATCAATTTTGCCTCTTTGAATCGCATTAATTTGTGACTGTCTTTTCTTAGTGCTAAATTCTAAATCAAGAGCTTTTCTAGCAGTAGCATACTAAAAAAAGAAAAACAAATAAGATTTATATATATAGAATATATATACATAACAATATAAATTTATTACATCTTTAGGAATGTCTGGTTTCTTTTCTTTTTCTAATTTAATGCGTTTAGGAGTAGCTTTAAAACTTATAACTGGAATTTCTTTAAATGTTATCGTTTTTGTTTTTTTATTATAGATGGCAATCATGTAACTTAAAAATAAAACGATTATAAAGTTTCTATAATTATATGTTCATTATTTATATAAAAAATTTAATAATACTAATAATGATTAAACATACTCATTGTTTGATTGATCATTATCCATTTTTTCTGAGTTTCTTGCTTCATAATTAACTCTCTCATTTTGACTTGTAACAATACACTCTTGAAAAATAACAGAATCAGACTTTTTGTAAACTTGAAAATTTAAATCCATCGGAGGTGGAATTCCCGGAAACATTGCTATGTTAAGGGCAATGTTAATAAACAAACTTATTAATTTCACTGAAATATCATAATCGTTAGCTTGAAAAAAAATATTTATGACATGCTTACCTAAAAATGGCCCTTCTGATTGTTGCTTGTTTTCCATGTTTTTTGTTCAGTTTTCAAGTGTGATTCACATCACGCAGTGTTGACAATCCAATTGACGTAGCAAAAAAATGGCTTGGTTGTAGTGGACATTTGATTTCATTGGCTAAATTTTGTGATGATCATCACCTATTTTATCACACAAAATCAAATTTTATTGGCTTGATGATCTATTAGAATTTATTTCCCTTTTAATAATTTAATTAATTAATACAGACTCCTATATAGTCACACACCTCGGGACCATAGTGAAATTTCAAGAATTTTGGTGACTATAGTGTTTGTGACTATACAGGACATGTTTTTACTATGATTAATTAGTAGCAGGGAATTTTTCAAATTAACAAAAAAATGTGACTATACTATGTTGTGACTATATAGGAGTCTGACTGTATTTCATTACCTTCTTTATATTATGTGCTATTGATATTTATATAAGTCTTCTTACCATATAATGAGAATATAAAAATAAAACTTCCTGTATATAATTACTTCTTAACCACTATCTATTTATTTATTATTGTAATTCGGCCATTCTTGACAATACTTTTAAAAGAGCCTTTTGAAAATGACTTGATCATTTGATCATATTTTACCCACATATTGAGAAGATAGTGATGGAAAATGTATCTTGGCCCAAATCATTTGACTGTTATGTTTTTTGCCATTTTCTCTAAACTTTAATAACCAACATTCCACATAAAGCCAGGCTTATTTTACATTTTTTCAATTACCCATCATGTTTATAAAGGTAATGTTTTTAGCTTTGAAGTGAAAAGTAATGCTATTTTGAATAACTATAGCTTTGCATAGGGAGCTTTCTATCAGGATTTATTAGAAAGCTTTAATAGCACAATTTTTATAAAAAAGGTTGGTTACACAATTCTGAATGATCAACTGATGCCATAAAATTTGAAAATTAGTAAAAATAAAAAATAATGAATAATGAAATGTCAGAAATAACAATAACGGTCAAATGTTCTAATGATACAAAATATACAGTAACTACAGATAAATCAAAAACTGTTTTAGAATTTAAACAGCTTATTGCAGAAAAAAGTGAAATTCCAGCTGATAAACAAAAATTAATATACTCTGGTAAAGTGTTAAAAGATAATGATACTCTTGAAACCTATAAGATTGCTGAAGGACACACAGTTCACATGGTGAAAAGTTTAGGAGCTCGTGGTATGTTAAATGATTAATATATATTATATTGTGATCTATTTTTTACTATATATGCAACAAACAAAATACTACAAGTAAAAATTATTTAAATGTGGACATTTTCTAATTATACTTCAAAAAATTGTTAGTTTCATCTCAATCAACAACACAATCTGAACCAACTGCTACTTCAACAACAAATACTACCAATAATCAATCAACACAACCACAAAATATACCTCTTAATCCATTTACAGCACTGGGCGGATTTGGTGGAGGCAGTGGAAATTTTGGTACTAATAATGACGCAAATCTTTTTGGTGATAATAATAATGGCGCACCAAATATGAATATGATGATGGAACAAGTTCTTAATAATCCTGCTTTGATGCAATATGTTTTACAAATGATGCAGGATCCTCAGATTATAGATAATGTAATTGCCATGAACCCACAACAATTTGGTGAAATGGCGCCTCAACTTAGACAGATGACACAAGATCCCGGATTTCAAGCTTTATTATCAAATCCAGATGCAATCCGTCATATTGCAACTTTAAATCCATCAGTGGGCAATCCTGGAGGTTATGGCATGGGTATGTTTCCTACGAACCCTTCCGCAACGAACCCTACAACACCTACAACTACAACTACTACTTCTTCAACCAACAATAATAATGATAATAACACTACCACTACACCTTCCTCCGCCATCCCACCACCAATTAATAACCCATTCTTCAGTCTTTTTAATACTGCTGCTACAATGAACCCTACTGGAAACCCAAACACCAACCAGCAACAACAACAACCGTTTTTCCAAATCGATCCATCATTGCTATTTGGATTAGGAGGTCTAGGTGTTCCACCAACAACTGCACCTACTATTCCACCCGAAGAAAGATTTCAAGTTCAATTACAACAATTAAATGATATGGGGTTTTGGGATGCACAGAAAAATATCCGTGCGTTATTAGCTTCTGGTGGAAATGTAAATGCAGCTATCGAACTACTTTTAAGTAACACTTTTTAATTAATTATTAATTCAATGAATGAAAATTATTGATTGGTTTGGTTGGTTGGTCGACTAGTTTAGTTAATTAATTGATGGTTGTTTTTTTTAAAAATTTTTATTAAAGGAGCTTTTAGGAATTTATCATTTGTTATTACATCATTTTAATTTATTTATATATATCTATCTATATATTTTATTATCAAAGATTATATATATATGGTTCTAAAAAATTTATTTAAAAATAAAATGGTGCAACGTTTTTTTTACCTTTTGATTGAATGATTCCCTATTTCCTAGAAATCTACATCACACAAAGTTCAAAACGATTGTTATTATATTAATTAAAAAACTACTCTTTGTTTAATTTAGAAAATTTTCATCGTGATCGGAAATAATCATGCTGTTTTCAAATCGCTACTCCTTCTCCATTTTCAAAGATACAGGCATCAAAGTTGCACGAAAGGATGACATATAGGTTGTAGTTTACAGCAATGGAGAGTTATAATAGGACCGGGAAAACCCTATTGGATGTGAACGCCAACACTATGATTCGAAAGTACTTTAAAAAAAAAAATGAGACCACCTCACCATAGATTCGCATCAATAGAAAAAAATGCCCTCGGTTACACTGATTCGCAAATATAGCAATAGGAGAAATGAAAATATAGTAGTAGTTCGTATTATTATTATTATTATTAAAAAATCTACCTCTTGTCATCTATCTGGTCATACCAAAAAAAAAACGAAAGGTCAAAGTAGTACATAGGCAACCCCGTTAAACCGAAGGCAATTGTGCGGGAACTTTTATTTGGATTAACGGGGTTTTTTATAATCCGAAGTTATTATTAGAGTCATAAATTAATTCGGATAAACGGGGTAATAAATTTAAAAATTTAGGATTTAAAATTTCCTTTATCCATTTTCTGGCAGTGAATTGATTTGGATTCAATGATAAAAAATAATCACTCTTTTTTAGAATTTCAGAAACAGTAGATTCACTGACATTATATTTAGATGCAAGCTGATTATTTTTTATGTTTGGGTCTTTATATTTATATTTTTGTGAGATTGTTATAGGCGCATGTTTTCTTTTTGATACTCCAACTTCTTTTTCAGTAGATTTTTTTTCCTGTTGTTTGCATTATATAGAGGAAAGTCTACTCTGGTTATTAATCTTTGCACATGTTGTGCGTGAAAATGAAATTTATGTGAATTTGCAATTCACATATTCAAATTAGCAATCAGAATTTCATATCCAAACGCTCCACCCAAAATTTTAATTATAGATTTCAATTTCATATACAACATACATATGTATTTGTACAACTTGTATATTATTTCACTTCGGTTTATAAAAATTCGGATTAACGGTGCAATTTTACATGTAAATGGCTTCAAAATTTCTTCGGTTTACGGTTTATAAAGTTTTATCAGTGACATTCATATTAACGGGGTAATTTACATATGTTTGGCTTCGGTGTTTTAAAATTATTCATTTTAACGGGTTTTCGGATTAACGGGGTTGCCTATTTAATAAGTAAAAATAGTAAAATAATTCCTTATGATTCACGCCAACAACATTTTACTACATACCTTAACTTTCAAGAATTTGTCAGTGCTAAAAAAGTGAATCAATTATCAAGTTGCAAACTTTAAGAGACATTCTGGGAGTAATAATAAGATTTTTAGATCATTTATCATATATTTTTATCTTCCAATATCACAATGGCATTTTTCATGCGAGAATTTGGCAACAGGAGACGAGTATTTTTTTTTTTTTGGAATACATTTTTACCCCTTGTTTGATTGCAATAGACGATGAAACATTTTAATTTATAATCATTTTAGTATGTCAAAGTACATAAAACCTCCTTTTGAATATTTTTAGTGAATTCAATCTGTTTCGATTCGCATTATTATTATTAAATATTTTTGGAAAATCAATTCGCATAATTATAAAAACTAAGACTCGCATTATATGTTTTGTCATTTAATTTGACGGTCACACACAATAGGTTTTCCGGTCTTTTTATGTATATATTATAATGGTTGTAAAAATGCCAATTGTACAAAAAAACTCATTTGGAATACAACAAAAATATTTTTTTTCTTTATTGAAATCCAAAAATTATATATAAGTTTCCATATTAATATGGTTATTGTTGATAGAGAGATATTTACACAAAATTGTTTATAGAAATATATAATAAGCCATCAAAACACTGCGCCACACGGTTCAATCTCACGGTTTTTCGGTTTACATTTGACCCAAAAGTTTCAGACATTCTAAATTCGTTGACTATAAAAAATATACATAATGGCTTCACAAAAAATTTACAATAACTTGTAGCTTGGTTTGGTAAATGTGTTGCGAAGTAGGGATGCTGGAAGGATCCTGTTTCCAAATACATACATAGTCTGTAATTTTTATGCCATGATATCGAAGGCCCTATCTCTTATTAAAATTGGAATGAAGATTGAATATTATACATATTACCAGTTGTAAATTATTTTATTTTTACATATTCATAGATACCACAAAAATTTAGAGTTTTTCAAATTATTTGTCCATGTTTTATTCGTTTTATTCAAATTATTTCTTCTGTGTCAATGGTTACTAATTCATTATCTTGTTTTTGATTTTGTTGAGTGTCTATCAAGTTCAGGTTCATCAATGTTCATATTATCTGATAAATCTTTTTTTCTCATCTTCATAATTTTCTTCTTTTTCTTCTTTTTGTTTTCTGGGTCACCATTATCTAAGTAGTCATCATCATCACTATATCATCAGGCAATTCTAAAATTCAACCCTCTGGAATTTCAACAGTTTGTTGTTCATGTTTCCAAATTGATTTCTTCATCTTCATTTTGTTCTTCATCAAACTCCTTTTTCCCATAATCAAAATCATGATCAATTAGTTTTTGTTTTTTGAGCTTCTATCATGATTTTGTTTGCAACAATGTCATGTTCATCCTTTGAATCTATGCCTTTTTTTGATTCATTAATTTCTTTGCTCTCTTCAACATTTTCAGTAGAAATTATCATCCCACATTTTTTTATCAGCTGCATAGGATCTGTTTTGCCAACATTTCCCATATGTCCAAATTTCCACATTCATCATCATTTTTGTCATTTTTGTCTTCAAGATCACCAATTGAACCTTCAAAGTCATTTCCATTTCTACACCTTTATCATCATATTCACCACATTCTCTTGATTTGATTCATTTTGTGTTGTTCTTCATCTTCAATTTCACCATTCATGTTTTTGGTACCATCTCCTTGAATATCCATCTTATTTCTCCATTACTTTCTGTTCACATATCTGACATACAATAATCCTTTTAAATATAGTGGTAAAGGAATCACAAAGCACATATGTTATTTATTTAAATATTTATGATGGAAAATGAAATTAGATATAAAATATAAATATTGATGTATAAAGGGACGTAATTCTAATCTTTGTAATAGAAACAAAAGTAAATTCATGAATTAATTACTGTTACAATTATGTTGATCATCTGATTTATGATTTGTATGTGTAACGTTACTTATGTAATAGTAATAAAGATAAATTCTGCACGCTTTTCAATTTTTGGTGTATATAGTACTAGCACGGAGCGCAGATATACGGAATACGGAACCTGTATATATACTAATATTCGTTCTTGTTGAATATAACCATCATTTGCAATCAATTTCTTGGTATATGGTGAAAACAAGTTTGAATTTCCACTGTTCAAAGTTTAATTAGAGATATTCCTTGCGCATAAATGTAACCTAAAATAAGTACGTTACACAAATGAAATGCCCGCCCACCATTCTTCGGTGCCATTTTAGTATTAGCAAACACAGCGATTATTTATATATTATAAATAATATAAATAAAACCCCTGCTCCATATCTGTTTTACGAATTAAGGTATAAACATTTTTAAAATTGTGATCTCTATTTTTGTCTTTAATAAAGTACTAAATATGGTTAAATGTTACACTAATGGATCCGATGAACCCATCAATGGATGATAGCCAACCCTGATCTTTTTCTTTCATTTCATAGTAGCTATTTTTAGACAAAAAAGATTGGCAACAATAGAAATATATTTCTTCAAAAAAAAAAAAAAAATGGCATCTTCACATTTAATGAATATCAATAATAATATCAATAATAATGAAATGGGTGGTGGTAATCATTTACAAGCATACAACCGAAAAAACGAAACCCCCGAGGATAAAAAAAATAGATTATTAGCTGAAAAAGCTGCTAAAAAACGTAGCGATTCCATTGATAAAATGTTAAAAGCCGAAAAAGAAAGATTAATCAAAACCAAAAGTGCAAAATTACTGCTGCTAGGTAAAACATATGATATTTAAATATGGATTTATATATGTGTGTATGTTATATATACTTACAAAATGTAATAATATCTCACGTAAATATATTTTATTTTAAAGGTTCTGCCGAAAGTGGCAAAACAACAGTTTTGAAACAATTAAAAATTATTCATGGAAAAGGTTTAGAGGAGGAACGTCAATCATATCGTAAGATAGTTCATTTGAATGTGCTTACTGCAATGAAACTATTGATAACTGGACTTCAATACTATGAATACGCTTTAAAACCAAAGAATGAACCACATCTTGAAAATTTTCTTAAATTGACTTCAATAAAAGATTCATTGAATCGTGATTCTATTAGTGTTCAGGCTGCTATCAAAGATCAGAAATTGGATGATAGTGCTTTGGACTCGTTTAGTGAATATATTGAATCTGTTAAAGAATTATGGGCTGATGACGCAATTAAAAAATGTTACGATCATGCTACTGAAATTGGTTTACAAGATTCTGCAAAATAGTAAGTGTATTTTTTTATGGGAAAGTTTTTATAATTAACACTTCATTCTCTTTATTCACATTTCATCATTCCACATTTCTATATTCTTATAGCTTTCTAGATAATGTTGATAGAATTTCCAAGGAAGATTATTTACCAACAGATGAAGACATATTACAAGCAAGAGTTAGAACAATGGGAGTGACAGAACATAAATTTGAAGTAAATAATCTAATATTCAGAATTTTTGACGTTGGTGGGCATCGGTCTCAACGACAATTCTGGGCTCCATACTTTGATGATGTAGATGCAATAATTTTTATAGCGGCAATATCAGCATATGATCAAACATTAGAAGAGGATAATGATGTTAATCGTGTGCAAGATTCAATTCAACTATTCGAAAAAATATGTAACCATAACTTATTTACAAATACTGGAATCATTTTATTCCTTAATAAAATCGATATTTTGAAACACAAACTTACAACAACACAAGTCAAAAAGTATTTTCCTGATTATGAAGGTAAAAATATTTTTAATGCTTTGATACTATATTATTCTGTATCATTTTGGCGAATTAATTAATGGAAACAATCATATTATTTAGGTGATAATGAATATGATAGTGTTACCGAATATTTTCAAAATTTATTTTTGGATTGTAATGAAAATGAGGATAAACATATTTATACTCATCTCACGCACGCTACAGTAAGTTAAATTCATACATATTTATGTTGATGTAATATTTTTTAATTACATTATATTTATTTATCTATTTGCAAATACATTTCATACACATTAGGACACAAAATACATGAGAGTAATTGTAGCTTCAGTGAATGATATTGTTATAAAAATTAATCTCGCAAGAACTGGTCTTGACTAATTATTACTTCCTTTTTTACTATATAGACAATACATAGTTTTTTTAAATTTTGTACTTTGTATTTTTTTTTTTGTGATTATATTATTAATATATATATATTGGTTGTATTATTTTATTATTATTTATTTTTTGACTCTTTTCTATGTATGGTCAACAAGTAACCTTGTTATGCTAAATCGGAAAGGACAATCATTGTGCTGAAGTCCTGACCGTGATAAAAAGAAAATCGCATTGCCATGCTGCCCAGAAGATTTTCTGTCACAATTATGTGAATTCCCAAAGATCTTTTTCAGCATGTCTTTCTTTACATACCTCTTGTACGACACATTTCATATTTACTATCCTCCTTTACTATACATCATTCGGTCGGTTACACGTGAATACTCGGTACTACATACCAAATGAGCAATGATCATCATATTCATGAACATTGCAATATAAATTGTTTTTGGACGTAATTAGACAGTCTGATGACCAACCCTTATTTTTGGGGAATAAATAAATCGGCCCATATATTTTAAAAAAATTTTCTTACAATAAATTTTATAATGTTCATAGTTAAAACTCCAAAAGAAGTTCCAACTTTAGGATCAAGTGTTGTAAAACTACAAAGCAATATTAAGAAACATATAAAGAGAGACATTGTGGGTTCAGGAGGTAATTATTTGAAACAAAAAAGACTATATATATATATATATAATTTTTAAAAATTATTTTTTGCACTAGTTAAAATACTTGATCGTAAAGGTTATCAAAGTTTTGCACCAACTTATGATTCAAGTGACTCAGTCTTTTCATTTGAAAATACAATGTTGGCGGAATCTTTTAGGAATCATGGCCAAAATATTGATAATGATAATGATGATGTTGATGATGTTGATGATGTTGATGTTTATGATAAAATGGATGAAGATATAGTTATGAATGAATATCATAATGAAATTCAAAAAGATGAAAATGGTGATGATGAAAATAACGATGATGATGGTGATGATCATGATGATGAAAAACCCAAGAAAGCATTAGAATCAAAATCAGATGATCAAGTCATTACGCTCTCAAATAATAATAATAGTATTAATATTGATGAAAAGACAGTTGCTGAAGATCACGAAGAAGATTTTGAAGAAGACTTTGATAAATTATTGGACGAAAATTCAAAGTTACATGCTCATTTGATAAGCTTACAAAAAGAAAGATTTCTAAAGAATCCTAGTGAAATATCTGATATTGAAATTGAAATTGGTAATATATTAAATTTGATTTTTATTTATTAAGTAGTTTATATAAATATACAAATTTATTTATTTATTTATCTTTTTTTTGATAAAGAGCAAAAATTACGTAATAACTTGGTTAAGTTATTTGGCGATGTATCACCGAATGATCTGTTAACACCTTTCAGTATTGAAAAAACCATGGATTCGTTGACGACATGTGAGCCATTGGTTAAAGGAAAATTTCCACCAAATTCATATCCTGTTAAAGTGTTGCCATCACAAGTTTCCAAAGAAATAGTATCAACGACTCAATCATACAATAATAATTGGAAACAGCAACAAATTTCTTTTCAACGATACCATCACAATCTTCGATCTGCTAGTAGAAAAATGACCAGCACAACTGCTGCTTCTAATATTGGATATTATCAACAACAACAGCAGCAATATCAACAACAACAATACTCATCTAATTATAACACATATTCAAATAATAACAATTATTATTATCCTGGTTTGTAATCACATCATATCAGAATTACTAACTGACTGTTTGTTTCTTAAACATTTTCCTTAATTTGTAAATATTCTCCTATATTTAGAAAAATATCATTAGAATACATTATTTCTTTTCTAATATTTAATTAATAATAATAATAATGAAAATAATAAATAAATTCTTTTTTTTTAAAAAAAAAAAACTGGTTAAAGATCTTCACTGTAAAATTTTTCTTTCCGCATACCATCCTCCTTTTTATCCAGAAAACTATTTCCCCTTCTGTCACTCTGAATTCTTTTATTACTAATTCAATAATACAATGTCCCAAACAATTCCATGGTTGTAACTGATCCTAACCCAAAGCCTGCTGATCTGTTAAACAAGCAAGCGCACCAAAAGCACAAGGTGCTCCGGTATCTAATCCAACTTTCATTATTCCATGACTAATACTCCAGTACAAACGACTGTATCATATCTTACAACATAACTGTTCCCAGAAATAATATTTTTTTGCAGCAATAGGTAATTCATATGATCCAGAAACAGATTCAGTTGTGATATTTTATCTATGCATTATATTGTGAAGTCATGTTCTTAATTATTCCATAACTAATAATGCAATATAATAACAATAATATGTAAATTCATTAGGTGCTATAATAATGATAATGATAACGGATAATTAGATTAATGATTTGCTCGTTTGTGTATTATATTAATATTATTGCATTTTTTTCTATGCGTTACAATTTCCGAGAAAAGGAGTAATAATAACACCAAAAAAGAATGTTAAAATTCAATTCCTTCGTCTGGATCTGGGTAATAATGCAGTTATGATTCTACCAATCTCTCACTAAATTTGGTTAATGTGACATATATTGTTATACGATAATTTGATCTTGGTACATGAACAGGAATTGGTGTACCATTGTTATACAAAGCATTAGGAGTAAATTTTGGATCATTATATATAAGATGGTGAATCTGATCTAATTGTTGATTGTGTTAAAGGTGCAACTGGCATCGTATTAATATTATTATTATTAGGGTAATTTTGTAAAATTGTTCTATTTAAGTTTGTTACTGATGATTGTTATTACTATTGTTGGCTGTTGTTCTTGTAAATCTAGATCTATTCAACATAACTGAACTGTCTGATTCAATGGTAGAACTTGAGAAAGGTGATTTTAGAGGCAGAGATGACGGTGATGATGATGTACCAATATTTGTAGTAAATCTATCAGTAGATGAAGGTGTTGTTGATTAAAATACGGAGGATGATAAAAATCTGGAAGGAGGTTGGAATACAGAAGCTGATTGGGATATGGGAGATGTTGAAGATAAATAAAATGATAGTGGTGTTGTTGTTGTTGCTGCAAAGATGGGAGATGTTTGTGACCAAGAAAGTGACGACGATGTAATAGTCGATGGTAATATGGTAGATGAAGTAGAATTAAAATTTAGGCGGAAAAAATTATTTAGAAATAAGTTATTTATAATGTATATAAATCTTGAAGGTTTTTTTCTTCTTGTTTATTTGTATAATGACTTTATAATGTAAAAATTTATTCATATTATTAAAAATATTATATATCATCACTTATATTATTTATACTTACCAAAATGTAAAAATAATCGTAGCAAAAGATTTACGGTCTCTCTACTCTATCAATAATGACCACTTTTCAAAAAACAAAACAAAATATTAGTTCATACATATAGACAAACGTATAAATAATAATAACGGGAATATTAAAAAATACATGTATTGTTTATCACCTATTAAAAATGGTTGAACTAATCATTAGAATTACTAAAAAGTACTACTTGAAGTGATGATTTGTATTGAAGCATAATGGCATTTATTTTCAGGAACCCTCTTTCTGCTATAAGTTTACGTTCCAAAGGAGATAAATAATACGTTTTAGAGGGTGAGCCAAGAGAAGATTGTGATTGTGGTCTTGATATTGGAACATGAGGTGAGTCTGCAACTCGATTTCTTAATGTCGATTCTGGTGTGCTTCCTATTATCAGTGAACCATTTGCCCTACCATTCCAAAGATTATATTGATTTGATAAATGTTGATTATTTATTTTTAAAATAGAAATCCAAAGATTTATTATCGTTTAGCCGATCAATTTTGAAAAAAGCAAAATTTTTTTATTATATATGATTGATTTTAGGGTAGAATGTACAAATTGCATAATTTAAATCCAACATCCTTTCCCTCCTCTTCCTGTTAAATAAAGCATTTATCTGTTATTGTATATTTTCCTTCCAAGATATTTTCAAGATTAGCGGATAATGTGTATCAGGATCATATCCGTTTTCATTCATCAAATTCTGTTGATGTATTTTCCATACAGTTTCATCATATCTTTCTAATAATTCAACACAAAAATTATTGATGGTGTTTAACTGTGCGATGAATGTGTTTAGACTATTTCCACGGTGTGGACCACAAAATACTATCAGATTTTCATTTGATGATGATGATGATGATGATGATGATGATGATGATGATGATGATGACGATGATGATGATGATGATGATGATGATGATATGTGAAGAATAGATTGCAGAACATGGATAAGATGTGGATGTGTTTGTTTATCATAAGTGCTAAGTTATTTATTTATGATGATGTTGAAAAAAGTTAGTCGTGAAATTCTGTTTAAATTTTGTAAATAAAAATAAAAGATTTACCAATCAGCACATATAATTATATCATATTTTTTCTTGTAAGATGTATCTTTATTCCAAAATATTTGTTCGACGTTCACGTTTGTATCAGCAAAAAGATGTTTATTTGCCTTTACAATTTTTTCAATATGTATATCATAAATATATAATTAGTTAAATCTAATACAGAGCAGTATAATAAAAGTCGTGAAAAATGAAATTAAAAAGGATATTTTTTATACAGTCTGGATTTCCTTCGGTTAATGTGACACTTTTAGGTTTACATTTTGCTGCGATTGTTAAACCTGCCAAAGCACTCATACCACTACCTAATTCACATATTGATTTATTACTTTATATAATTATTGTTGAGATTTTATTAGTTAGTTTAAGGTAAAGCTCTGCGCAAGCCAGCTCGAGAGGAGCTTTAATTTAAAGAAATTTTCATCATAAAGATTTTTTTGATTAATCCAATCAATGAATTCATTTACCTAAATAATTGAGGATTTTTTATGCAATAATAAGCCAAAATCTCTTCAGCAGGCCATATACATATATTACCAGTATTCAAAAATCCCGAATATCTTGAAGTAAAAGTTGATTTTATGTCTATTTTCTTGGGAACTTTAATTCTATTTATTTTGAATTTTTAATTTTAAAAAATATATATGATATACATTTTTTTTAAAAAAGCAAAAATAAAAATAAATGCTTACAACACATTTAAAACAATATTATCAAATAAATCATAAGCAAACCATTCTTCATTTCCTTCTTCAAAAAAAAAAGTTTTGTCATGATTAATTGATAATTTTTGTTTAGTAAATAAATTGAATTCTTGATGATTTCTTTTAGATACTTTTCCAAGAATTTCATCACTAGATGAATTTGAAGAAAGTATAAATGATTGTAATAATTTCCATCTTTCTTTTGCTTTATCTTGTTCTATCGACGATGACATTTTTACTTGCCGCTATTCTGTAACACATCTTACGTCACAAGAGATCATAAAAAAAAATTTTTGGCTGTCAACCAAAACAGCATGATAAAACATAACCATGTTTTAGAGACTTTTTATAAGATATATATACCTTTAAGTAAATGATAAAAAGTTTTTCCTTTAAACGTGAATAATAATAATAATCCTTTTTGAGGTTAATGAACGCATACATTGATATTGATTAACCAATATTTTAAAAAATTTAGCTTACTAATTACATATTTATTTATTTTTTTCCAGATGAATTCAAGCTTGGTGGAATAAATATTTATGAAAAGTGGTGGGTTGTAAATGCTCTCTGGACTTGTTCCACCTGAAGCTCATAAGCTTTGCATAATTTTTTGGGCTTGATGACTTTGATGACTTTGTCAAATGCTGAGAATATGGTGAATCCAATTTATTCAACCTTTAAAAAATTATTCACTTTAAAGGTTGATTTTTCTGGTGCGATTGAATTTATCCAAGGCTCACACGCATACATTGAATTTCTTAAAGATAAGGGTTTGGTTTATCCAATCACTTTCTATATGTTTTGAACTCGGAATCAACACCAATAAGTAACTTCATTTCAAACAGAACTACATTGATACCTTCATGAACATTGACCCTATCAATAATTTAATAATCAATAGTATTAATGAGCATCACACAACATTCATTTGATAAAAAGTCAGATATATATATAATAAATAATACTGATAATATATTATGTAAAATGGGATTGATTGAAGATTTATTAGGAGCTCCACGAATTTTCTTGGTAAACAAATATAATTATTAAATTAAATTAAATTATGATGAGATTTTTTTAAATTTTGTGCAGTTAATAATGGCAGTATTTTTCATGATACACATCCATCTATCCATCCATTACTTTTTTAATTGTATTAGAATTACCTTTTTTCAAAGAATTTCTAAAACCAGGAAACATTACAAGTCAATAATTAGTTTCTTGATTATTACATTTAATCATTTTTAAATAAATTAGATAATGCATACATAGTATTTTAAAAAGTGACACTTGGCATTAAAAAATTGACAATGATGTGTATCGTTTTGTTTATTATTATTATATTAATTCAGCCAAAAAAATTTTTCTTTGACAAAGAAATTTCTGGTGCAGTAATAATGAAGATATGTTCCCGATGCCAAAAAGGACTTTTCCCATACATTAACGATTCTGGAAGATCATAAACGACAATATTGTTAGTTTGTAATATACCATTTAATTGTTTATAAATTAAATAATACTTGTAAATAAAATTTCGATAGTATACAAATTTAAGTGTAACTGAATGAAATCGAAACCAAGTAGTCTACGATGTTTGGATTCTGTACACTGAGACAATAGATACCAGATGGTGCACTAGGCCAAGAAACGTCAACTGTGCCACATACTAATAAATGAGATTCGTCTTGAACGTTTCCACATTGAAAGTATTTGACCCCATTACTTTGGAAAGACACAATAAGTCCAATAAAGTCTTTAGTTGCTGTCATATTTCCGGGTGTAATTTCACCAAAGCTAGTTGTGGGAACATCTGTTGGCTTTGGGTCAAATGCCACATGGAATGCTACGGAAGAAAAAAATACGAGTAATTAAATATAAAAAGAAGAAAAGTGAATGAATGAATTGTTCGCTTACAAACAGATGTAGCAGCAATAGAAGAGCACAGATTCCAACTACTAAAATCTTTTGGTATCGATACTACGCCAGTATTAGTTATTCTACGGACTAGTCCGCCATATGTCGTCTACGCAGTTACAAAATGAAATCACTTTTAAATAATTATAATTGATTAATAAACAAGCTTTCTTTTAATTACCTGTAACGAGTTATTAAGGAATAACAGTAACCCAATCAAAATTGTTAAAACTTTCATATTGACAAAAGTGTTTTGGATCTTTTACAAAATCTTGTGGTTATAAACCTATAAACCACACGTATTTATACGTTTAAGAATAATGTTTATGGGCGCACCAAATAGATACACTACGTTATTGTTTTGAAATTCAGGCAGGGTACGGTATTGCGTAGGGTCCGCGTTCTAACCAAATTTGCAAATAAAAATATATTTTTGTATATACGGCGCAGTCAAATTTCAACGAAATTTTTTCGAAAAGGATTCATTCACCATATTCTTCTAGAAATTATTAGTTCATCTAAATGAAAATGTATGCATAATATTGACGTCGTCAGGACAGTGTCTCCTAAAAGCTTGGTTTTTTCGTATGAAGATAAATCTTTAAACGATAATTTTATTATTACTATTACTATTACTATTATTATTATTATTATTATTATTATTACATATGTATTACTAATTTTAGTTTGCAAAATTAGAAATTACACATCCAAACTCGATAAATCGGACATTTATTTATATTATAAAGTACTTTAAACAATTGATTGCTGGTCCGACTTATCGAGTTTAGATGTGTATATTAAACTATAAATAAAATACGAGTTTACTCGGTATTAAATGTAACCGAAACTGATATATCAACGTTACTTGGATTTCCGATAGTGAGACAATATCTAGCAGCTACTGTCACGGAAGTGAGAATGGTGGAAATTTGGTTACGGAATATTCCGGTAGTAAAGGCTGCGTCTGAAATTTTCCACAATGAAAATAATCGATGCCAGCAGTATCTAATATAGCGGCAAAAAGCCCGGCAAAGTATTTGGTTGTTGATGTATATGTGTCAGTTGTGGCTTTAACTGTACCAAAACCTTCTGTGGCAACATCTCCTACTTTATTAATCTCCGCTGAGAATGCTATGGAGGAAAAAAAAATGAAACAATCAAGTATAAAAGAAAATTAAGAATGAATAAATGAAATGTATGTGTTCGCTTACAAAATAGTTGTGGCAGTTTCAGCACCGTATATCTTCCAAGTAGCAAGATCTTTTGGTATCATTCTATTCCGGTAAGAGGATCCTTACTATTACGGACCAATCCACCATAGGTCTATTATTGTATATATAATCAAAATTTTGGGGTGGATATGAAATTCTGATTGGCTAATTTGAATTTCACATGTGAGTTGCAAATTCACGTATTGCCATTTAGAAACCACATTAACATTAACCATTAATGCAAAAGATTGTCATAAACCACATGATTTCCGCTATAACAAACATAATTCATAAGGTATGTTCTATATTAAAAGTCCATTATCCACAATAAAGAGATTTTATTAAGAAGTCCACTATAACAAACAAATTTTATTATAAAGAGAATTGGGGAAATAAAAAAAGTCCACTATAGGCAAAATCCACTATAACGAGATACACTATAACAAGCTTGACTGTACTTTTGTTATGTGGTATTTTGCGTAATTATTAAAAAACCTCGTCCAGATACTTTTTGGAGGGTAGCATATTCCTATAAATTATTTTTTTATTTGGATTTTAAAGGGTTGAGGAATTAACGTATTTACATGTTTTTAGAAAAGAATTCGTTCATTTAGGTAAGGATCACACAAAATGTAAATATCTATGAGAAATATTAAAAGTAAATTATGTTTAGCCAAACACTTAAAAGGCCGTTTGATTGCTAAATCATTTGTTTATCTTTGCTTTTTACCTATATAGTTAGTGATAAATAAAACTTCCATTCTTGGCTTAATGATATAACCTTTTATTAATTGCAAATAATGTATGCATTGTAATTGTAATCTCTATTCACTCTGTATTTATTAAATTGTTCAATTAAATTAACTTTGTTATTGATTAACTTGATAATACTACTACTATAATTATTAGATACAGGATTCTCAACTTTTAGGAAAACAAACATTAACATCAGAAAATAATTATTGGTGTGCATATTTTTAATTTTCTTATACTTATTAAATAATATAAGATTATTTTTATATTAAGCTATATTAGCCAAATAATCTTTAACTTCTGAAGGAGACAATTTTCTAAATAATGGTTGTTCCTTGCCTTCCATAAATCCTGTTGTATCACCACCAATAATTCCAATTTCAATAGAATTTTCAGTCATTTGTCCTTCAAATCCTTCTTTTAATGTTAAAATTGAAGTATGAACTGCATCTTCCAATCCAATATCATCATTATATCTAATATAAATATTATATATAAATATTATATGCAATAAATATATGTTTATAATTCATAAAAACCATTTAATACCGTTTTTCCAAGAAAGTTTTTGCATTAACCATATTTTTTCCAATAGCAGATGCTTTCCATGCCCAGTATGATCCTGAAGGATCTACTTGATATAATGCTGGACCAGTTTCATCATAACCCACAATAAGAAGAGATACACCAAATGGACGTACACCACTTTAAATATATTTTCATATTAATATAAACATAAATACAATTTATTACAAAATAATAATATTTAAAATCTTTAAATTTTTTTTTACATACCCACTTTGAGTAAATTCTTGCATTACACTAGCAACTTCTTTAACCAATATTCCTGTTGGTGGATACTCATTATATATCCTTTTATATTTTTGAGCTGCCTTTCTTGCCTTTGTCAATAGTACTCTAAAGTCTGGTCCCATTCCAGAATAAACTATACCAATATTTGGACAAACATTTGCAACTTTTTCAAGTGATGAATCATCAATCAATGGTGAAGCTGTCTTTTTCTCAGTAGCAACAACAACACCATTTGTAGCTAATATTATTTATTATGCATAGTATATTTAGTAAATTTCTTTAATAAGGTAAAAAGATTATTTTGCTCAAAAAAGGAAAGCCATATTTTTACACACCTTTAATACCAATGCTTGTTACACCTTGAGCAACCGCATTCAATGCATACTCAATTTGAACAAGCTTGCCCGAAGGTGAAAAAGTTGTTAATGAAAAACTAGTTTAAATAATTTAAAAAATATTATATCATTTATAATTACAACAGATTAAAATAAATTTTTAGAAATGATAAATCTTTTACCTATATCTATCTGACATTT